AACCTGTCATCAGTGATATAAATAATTAAGCACAATAATTATCACATTTAATCAACAATTACAAAAACATCACATAATAATTTACCTAACCCCCCCCCCCGTCCCCCGAGGGGCAAAACCCCCGTAATCCCATTAAATAATAACTTCCATAATCAAATGGCCCTATACTCGAATTTATTTAGAACGGGCCCCACACAACCAAAACCCTACCAGGAGAGGTTAGAGTAAAGGGACTTACAACACAAAGTTATGCCATCATATCGAATGGCCAACAAAACAAGAGCGACAGAGACGCAGATAGCGACCCAAACAGGTGAGCGACAGAGACAAACGTATATAAGAAGTGAATTCTTGGCGGGTGCGAGAGGGAAGGATAGATATCACCGACGCAGGTTGTAGAGCGATGGAAAGAGATGGCATGAGATAAAAGGGATCGTTGGGAGGGATAAAGAATTCTCGAATACGGGAGAGAGAAAAGAGGGCAGAGGTTCTCAAAAGGGATAAAAGAATTAATGAGAGTCAAGGTGTAAAGAAAATAAAATGTAAAGAGAAAAATAGAAAAAATAGAGATGAAAAGAGAAAAAATTAATAAGAAGAGAAAAAAGCGATATAAAGCAAAAATAGAGATACAAAGAAGAAAAAAGAGAAAAAAAAGACAAAAAAGATAGAAAGAGAGGAAAGAAAAAGATAAAAAGAGACAAAAAAGGTTAAAAAGAGACAGAAAAAATTAAAAAGAGACAGAAAAGTTAGAAAGAGACAGAAAAGTTAGAAAGAGACAGAAAAGTTAGAAAGAGACAGAAAAAGTTAAAAAGAGACAGAAAAAGTTAAATAGGGACATAAACAGATAAAAAGAGAGAAAATATGGTAAATAAGTATTTTATAAATAATTTAGTAAACTTCTGTGATAGTCTTCTGTAGTAATAGTAATTTAGTAAACTTTGGTAGTTTTCTGTTTTGAATCACGAGTGGCTAAAGGAGAAATTTAAGTTTCGCCAAAAATTATGATTTGCTAATTTTATGTTTTCTCGACATTACAGGCCATTCTAACTCGAATGAGACCAAATTTTGGAAAAGTATGCGTGTGTGTGTGTGTGCAGTAGTGCTTGTAGAGCAAAATGATGTTAGTCAATACTACAAACAATTTAAATTTGTATAAGTTTCTCAAATACATCATATACATATTAATCAAATGCTTTTAAAATTATAAAAGATATGTAAAAGTGATGCACTTTTGCAAAAAAGGCCCTTCACTGCTGCAATTGTTCCTGCCTTGTTCGTGGATGAAATTAAAAAAAAAAATCTCATTAACTAGCTGTAAGTGGAATTTTGTCTTAAGGCAATTAAGGCATCGTGCCTTAAGGCAAATTGCTGGAACTTCCCGTACCGCAATTCAAAATTCGAGTTATTAAAAATAATCAATAATAATAAATAAAAGTTGATCAATGATCTGATACTTTTAATAAAATTTCGAACTATATGAAATCATTTATTTTGAAATATTTTGGAAATTCTGAACTTCAAAGCAATCGTACTGCTTTAACTGCACAGAGACAAAATATCTAACGCATAAAAATTGGTACGAAACCCATAGGAATGTAAACAAAATTTATACTTTTTGTTAAAATCTCTATAAAATATCTGATAAATTTATGTGCATATGTCTAATGATAATTTTTGACCGCCAAATGGCTTTTTTTTACTTTTTTTACTAGATCTCCAAAACCGCAAGACTTGCCTTCATGAAAATTTGATCAGTTGTTCATCTTGTTCATAAAAGTAAAACGTTTTTTGAATTATTCAAATCGGACACTTCGTTCTCTTAAAAACTGAGTTGCCATTTTTAGCACTTTTTGCCACGTATCTTCGGAACGGCTAGACCTGCCTACGCCAAAAAATAATCAGCACGTCTCCTTATCAAAACGAATCGAATGTTTTTTGAATTATTCAAATCGGTTTGTCGGTGTTCCCGAAATCGCCGACGAAAATTTGTATCCGCACACACACACATACATCCATTTTTTCTAAGGTATGCCAAAATGTTCAGAAACCTTTGAAACGTAAAGATATATATAAAATTTTCATTTTCGATTTTTTTGCGATTACTATAACTTACCCTACGGGAAGTTAAAAAGTTAAATAGAGACAAAAACAGATAAAAAGATAGAAAATATAGAAAATATCTATTCTTTTATTTATTATCTTTATAAATAATTTAGTAAACCGGTAGTTTTTCTATTTCGAATTACGAGTTGCTCTAAGACCCTTCGTTGAAAGTTATTTTGCTAATTTTATGTTTTCTCGACATTACAAGCTATTCTGAATCGAATGAGAGCAAATTTGAAAAATTATGTATGTGTGCGCCAATTTCTTAAAATAAAGTTACCCTAAACATAATTTATATTAGTCTATTTATTTAAGATTTTTAAACGATGTGCAAATTGATTTGATATATTTAATTTTCAGTTACAATTTTAAAATATACCTAGTAGTGCTGTAAATCAAAATGATGTAAGACAATACTGCAAACAATTTAATTTTGTTTAAATTCATAATAATCGAATGCTTTTAAAATTATAAAAGATATATAAAAGTGATGCATTTTTGCATAAAAGTGTCATAATTAAGATGTTCATTCGCTTTAGTAATTTTTGTTGATAAGTTATAGCATTTAATGTTGTACAAATTTGTCGAATACTGCATTTAGATTAGACTACAGTTTTGAAGCAAATTGAAATAATGTTTAGCAAAAAACGTTTGAGGATCTGTGGACGAGTATATTGCAAATGAAAATAAGTTTCCTATTCCAAGCACACGTTCTATAATATCGTATATATACAAATATATATATATATATATATATATATATATATATTGTATATATAAATTTATAAATGTAGTATTTTTGTTCCATTTGCATTTATTAAGAAAATGTTTGTTCAACCGAATTACGAGCGAATGATATGAATCGTTTTAATTGCGGGAACGTTAATTAAAATATTATATTATTATTTAAAACATGATACGATTATAGATTAGAAAAAAAAACTGCATACAACTTACAATAAATATTTTATATGTTGAAATATATATTTTTGGTGTGAAAATTTACTGTGATGATGGATGAGATATATCGCTGTCTCGAAACGTCAGTAATTTAGATCTACTAAATAAAGTTTCAGTAAAAAAACTAAGTGTATTGTGTTCATATTCACATATTTAATATAATATTATATATTATAATATAATAAAAAATATTTTTTTCAAAAATAGTTACAAAATTAAATACTCAATTTATATATTTTTTTGTACATATCATTCTCTCTCTTTATATCTATCTATCTCTCTCTTTATATCTATCTATCTCATTTTTTATATCTATCCTCTATCCTCTATCATATATTTGCCTCTCTTTCTATCTTCTAATATACTCCACCTAAACGATTATTCGAATTTTGATAAATCTTTCTAAAGTTTGGTAAGGAAATTTTTTAACATGTATGTGATTTTAAAAATATAGTAATTCTGTTGAAATAAATGGAAGAAGTTGAAAAAAAGCGACATATCATTGTTTGACATTGAAAATATTTGAAACATTGTTTGGAATTTGAATTGAAAACAAATGAGCACTGTCATCTCCAAACATTTTAATTTACTTATAAACCTAGACAATATTAGAATATGTATAATAAATTTATGAATGATTGTCAATAAGAAAAATGAAATGTATACATTATTATTGCCAAAAAGCAGCTGAGATGTGCCAGAAATTAAAATAATACAAGATATATTAAAATATACAGTATATGTATGGCAGATTGAATGATACATATGTGAACAGGATTTGACAAATTAATTCACTTAAAATATGAAATTAAGTAATAATCAGGGGAGGTCCTACTTTGAATGCGACGCACGCTCTAGGGGGCGCCAACATAAGATTCGGATATGAATTTTTCAATATAGTTTTATTCTTCAATATATTGCAAGAATTATATGATTTTTTTGCATATTTTACTAATCTTGGCACAATATTTTGAAAATACGTCAAAAATTTCACTTTAAAACAACAAATGGAAATGTAAAGATGAATACAAACAATTCGGCCCTCACGATATCGATTAAAAGAAGTTTAAGATGCAATTTTGGATATCTTGAATAATGAACAATTAAATTGATATAATCCAACATAAAGTCCAAGTGTTATGTTTAAAACGAATGGCTAGAATTTTTTTGCTCTCTATGATTTGCTCAATAGAATGAATCGCATAAATATGAAAATATGAAAAATAAATAAGTAAAATGTTTCAAAAGCCAAATATTAATTAATGATAATAATTTTAATATGATCTTGAAACAGATAAAATAATAGGGGGCAGTGGGGCGCTAGAAAAAAATACTGGAGAAAGGACTTTTTAAAAAATATTTTTTACCAAGATTTTACACATGTGTAGAACGAATTTCGAATCCTTTGCACGTCATTTTTATTGTTTTGTGAGAAATTTGGAAATACTATCTAAATAAAAGAATTTGTTTCGCACAGCGTGTTAAGTTCATTCTGTTTATTTATTGTTTTATTGCTATAAATAGTTAAAAAGATCCTTCTACAATTCTTTATTTGAATACATTTTGTTCGAATTGTAGTACAGTCGGGTTAGAAAAGTCCATATTGTGTTTTAAAGTATAAATATGCTCTGCAATCATAGTTTTAAATTGTTGGATTTTTTAAATTGATTTTATGTTGTTGTAAACGTTTCATTTTTCAGTTCTGGCTTGTTTCTCCTATGTAAATTAAATTACAATCTAGACAATTAATTTTATAGACGAGATTTCTAAGTCGTTCGATATTAAAAGGAGTATGGATTAGGGGTACGTATGGATTTAAAATAAATTTTTGAAAGAAATTCACGTTTTTTATTGATGTTATGCCCGGTTACTAGACTTTGTATATATATATATATATATATATATATATATATATATAATATCCTTGAAATATATACATATTTCCACTAACCTCTCCGAAAACCGCAAGCGAGTTCAACTCGGGCGCACTCGCAGGTTCCACGTAAAGGCGAAGACTCGCGAGGGTCCTGTCGCCTCCTGCTACTCCGGCACTCCTGAAAACAAAAAAAAAATTACATTATTATTAATATATATATATATATATATATATACATAAATTATATATAAATAGTTTTGTACTTCACATACAATACTAAATGATACATAATGCGATCGAAACGAGAAACAAAAGAGTGCGCGTAAGGTTCACACGCGATTGAAGTAAAACTTATTTGCTACTGTACGAGATGGCATTTAAATAAAAATAAATACATCATATAACAATTTTAAATAATATTTCTCAGTAATATGGTAACACTCGTGTGATCACACATTTATTAGTGTCAACCATTATACACATTTATATAAAGTATGGCTTTATATTTCAAATATGACATGATCGGTTTGTCATTGCAATTAGCATTTAGAAGTGAAGTAATTGCTGATTAATAAATTCTATAATATTCGTTCACACGGTGAATTATGTTAAACAACGCCTAAACAAATATTATTTTCATAATTTCACTCGTCATCATATAATATTTGTGTTTGAAGAACTTCATGTAATTAAAATTAACATACTTTCATTGACTGATTGTATTTTTTTTTACTTTTTCGATGGCTATATAATTTCATTCTTTGAACAGTTGTGATATCTGTCTTTCCTAAAAAATATTTTCCATTTTAATAACTTAGATTTATAGAAACTGCAAGTCCATTTTTGATTTTATTTTTAGTTTTAGAGTCGCTTTTTAATGTTATTTTTACATTGCTCGTCAGTAGAGTCCATTTTTATTTCATTTTTAATTTAATCATCAGTTGAGTCCCCTTTTCTTTCATTTTTACATTGCTCGTCAGTAGAGTCCCATTTTCTTCCATTTTTAATTTAATTATCAGTATAGTTTATTTTTCTTTTATTTTGAATTAGTCATCAGTAGAGTCAATTTTTGATTTTATTTTTAGGTTGCTCGTCAGTAGAGTCCCTTTTTCTTTCATTTTCAATTTTACTCGTCAGTAGAGTCTATTTTTAATTTTATTTTTAGTATGCTCGTCAGTAGAGTCTTTTTTCTTTCATTTTTAATTTAATTACCAGTAGAGTCTCTTTGAATTTTATTTTTATTTTGATCGTCAGTAGAGTTCCCCTCCCTTTTCATTTTTAGTTTGATCATCAGTAGAGTCCCTTTTACCTTTAAATTTAATTTAATCATCAGTAGTCTCTTTGAATTTTATTTTTATTTTGGTCGTCAGTAGTCCTTTTTTTTTTTTTCATGTCTTGTTTTTCAGTTTGCTCGTCAGTAGTCCTTTTTTTCCAACATGTCTTGTAAAAAATAGTTTGGTACATCTAGTAAATGCACTCGACTCTTATCTTATCTGCCGTAACGCGCTTCCGTTGCATTTGTAGATTTACACCCTAGTCGCGCCTAAAGAAATTTTGATTCAAAAAGTGCAGAAAACTGAAAAAAGAAGCACAGGGCACAAAAATGTGATGACCTTATCCTTTACCCTTTTCCCCTTACCTGTGTTCCGTCCAAAGAAGTTGCAGCTCCGCGACGCACAACAGGGCCGAATCCGACCAGGGCCGAACGACACAAAAATCACTAATGGCCACCACTCTTGTCTGTTTCCTAAACACATAACTATCACTACTACTACCGGAAACTTTTACACTACCATCATCAACAATATTCGTCGTTGTCGTTGTCGTTGTCGAAGTCCTATCATTGCAAATTTCTTTACTATTAACAACATTATTACTAAAATTGACACTTTGTTGTTGTTGTGGCTCATTGGTGGCAGCACTAGTCCTTTCGTCGTCGTTCGTGCGAACTAACGTGGTCGTCGAGAAGGCCTTGTGGAAGGTGTAGGGCCCGTGGCGGCCGCAGGGCGCACCCAAAATCTGCAAGGGGTAAAGGATAATTAATAATTGGTAAACAGATAGAGTATATTAAATTATTAGTTTTGAAAATCCAAAATGGAAATTTATGTATATTTTTACGTTTCAGAGTTTTCTGAACACTTTGGCATACCTTAGAATCTATCCGTCTCTCATTTTATATCTAGATAACTCATTCTATTACTCTCTTTTTCTATCTATCTCATCAAACATTATTAAACACAAAAATTATTAACTTCCCGTAGGGTAAGTTACAGTAATCGCAAAAAAACGAAAATGATTTTTTTTATATATCTTTACGTTTCAGAGGTTTCTGAATATTTTGCCATACCTTAGAACAAAATTGATGTATGTATGTGTGTGCGTGTATTTATGTGTGTGCGGATAAAAACTTTCGTCGACGATTTCGAGAACACGGATGAAGCGATTTGAATAATTCAAAAAACATTCGATTCGTATTGATAAGGAGACGTGCTGATTAGTTTTTGGCGAAGGCAGGTCTAGCCCTTCCGAAGATACGCGGCAAAAAGTGCCAAAAACCGTAACTCAGTTTTTGAAAGAACGGAGCCGTCCGATTTTAATAATTCATTAAAAATTAACATTTTACTTGTATTGACAAGATGAAGAACTGATCAAATTTTCATGAAGGCAGGTCTAGCGGTTTCGGAGATCTAATGAAAAAAGTAAAAAAATGCCATTTAGCGGTCAAAAATGATCATTAGACATATGCACATCAAATTATCAGATATTTTATAAAGATTTTACCAATAAGTATAAATTTTGTTTACATTCCTATTGGTTCCGTACCAATGCTTATCCGTTAGACGGCGACGAGGCGCTTACGCGCTTCGATATTTCGTCTCTATGCAGTTAAAGCAGTACGATTGATTCAAAAAACCTTTTGCTTGTGTAGACGGTGTGCAAAAAATGCTTTTACAGAAAATTTCGTAACTTTAAAAATTTTCAAAAAAAAATCAAAAGTTCGAAATTTTTCATTATCTTCAAAAAAAATCTTGAAAAATTTCAAAAACATCAAGATATAAAAAAAAAACAATTTGTTACAAAAAATTGAGAATATTTTCAAAAATTTCCAAATTCTCAGAAAATTAAAAAAAAAAAACATTTATTTTAAAAATTCCAAAAACTTTTAAAAAAATTTCAAAATTAAAAAAATAATTAACTAATTTATTATACAAATAAATTATTTGTAGAACACGCTCGTCGCTTAACTTAAAAAGTACTTATAAGTTTATTTACAGTATGTATTTATAATAAATAATCTATTTGAAATAATTCAAAACAATTATTGATTATTTCCATTCCTCGAATGTTTAATTACGGTACGAGAAGTTCCAGCAATTTACCTTAAGACACGATGCCATGCACCACTAGTTCATTCAAAATTATACATTCATCAATGTATATACGATTACATACATATATTCAAATGTATGTAGGCGCATCGGAGGAAAAATACATATTTAAATTTAGCGCGCTATTTATATACACAAATCGAATCTTAAAATATGCACAATATACATACACATATGTATAAATGTATATATGTATATATAAATCAAGTTATGCGTATTTATAAATAAATGTCTTTGTTTCTTTTGAGAATTTGCGTTTTAATTTTTGTCCTCGGCTTCTTAAATGCAAATGATGCGAAAAGATTGCAAGCAAGATGGATCGGAACGAATTTTATGAAGGAATTTTAAAAATAAATAAATATAATATATATATATTTATATATATATATATATATATATCCTTCAAAACGGCTATTCGAATTTTGATAATTCTTTTTCGAGTTTGTCAAAGGAAATTTTTAAGATTTAAAGGAAAAACTAGCCAAAACCTGAGCCTTCAACAACATAAAAATAACTCAAAAAATCCGAAGCAATACAAAACCATGTTAACCGAACATATTAATAATTTAAACCATAATATAGATTTTTTAAACCCGAAAATTTCATATTTTGAAGAGAACGTAATTAAAAAAAGATTCGCTGAAGGGTTATTTTTGCAATTACACAACGACAGGGTCATAAACAAACGATTCGATGAACGAAACAAACACGTGGTTCCTGAATAACGTGTCAATTTTTTTTTAAAAAAATGATAAGATTCCATCGCTTTTTAAATTTCCCGTAAAGTTTGAAAACATGCTAAAAACTGCTTCAAGGAAAAAAGTGATATTTTTATTATTGTTTTTCTATGAAATTTCTTACATATTATTTATTTATTTGTATATATATATATATATATATATATATATATATATATATATATATATGTGTGTGTATATATATATATATATATATATATATATATATATATCGACAGAATACCCAATCGCCATTTTAACCTAAATCTGGGGCGCATTCATAATGGCGATCGTTCGCATATTCGATTTTAATTATTAGATTAGTCCAATTAATTGTCTATTTATATAATTAGTTGTAATACATCAATCATCGTTATTATCATCATACATAACATATGTGTATATATAATAATTTATTTATGAGTATGAATTATTTTTATAATAAATTTAAAATATTTTAGGCGGTTCTATGCATATAAGGGAATTAGAATTGGAATTCTAAAAATAAAAATCAATACAAAACAATGTTATCTGAACATATGCAAAATTTTGAACACACTTTTGATTTAAATAATCCCATTCTTTTATATATTGAAAAAAATGTTGACCTAAGAAGGTTTGCTGAATCAAAATTTAATTAACGTATTGTAAGTCTGATTTTTTTTAATATTTGAACAATTTTTTACCACTTGATAATTTCTTTTTTGGGAAATTTCGGAAATATTTTGATTACTTGATTATATTTTTAAAAGTATTTATATATGTATATTTTTTAGTTTTTGGAACAATATATTTTTGTTCAAATTGTCAAATTTTTATTCTGCCTGTTTTTCTTATGTAATTGTATTTTATTACTCTTTTTGTATTTTAGCTGAATGATGAACTAATATAATAGCTCGAAACGTACAATTAAAGGAGATTTTATATTTACTTACTTTCTCTGTTTTTTCTACTAGTGGTTGAAAAACTTTATTAAAAAATGTGTATGTAAATTATGTAAAAATGTATATATTAGGTTGTCAAATATCTCCCTTCCGCTTTTTTGCTCGTGGTTCATAATACAAAAAAGCGGAAGGGAGATATTTGACAACCTTATATATAAAAATATATTAAAAAATAAATATATTTAGTTAGGATTGTATATATATATATATATATATATATATTGTATGTATATATATATATATATATATATATACATATATAAATTTATATGTTTCACATTTTTTCCACATATAATAAAAATCTCAATTCGAAAATGAACCTACAGTCGTAAAAGGTACACAGTCGTGTGTGCGAGCAGTACGACGCTATACGACGTGTGTGAGTGGGAAAGAGATGAAAATATATCAAGTCCATGTGTTTGCGTTTGGAACGGATCTCGTTCGAAGAATGTCAAAAAGTTTTGTAAAGTTAAGATAAATTTCTTTAATTTAAGATAAATAAGACTGGTATAAAATTATCTTATTATCTTATATTAATCGGTTATCTTATATAAGAAAAAAATTAAAAAAAAAACATCTAAAACTAAAATTAAAAGTATCTCAAAAAAACTTTTCGTGTTTTCTAACTTATCTTATTGTACGATAACAAAGCATGTTTGTATAAATTTTACACTAATGATATCTGATATTTTATTATAAAATTATTTAAAATCAACCACCATTAAATCTTAAACAAAAATGCCAAATATATACCAACATACATTTTACAAACAATTATTTACACGTTAATAACATACTAAATTCAAAAAAAACTGTTCACACTAAACAATTATCGCATTTTCAATAAACCTCAAAAAAAATCAAATACCCAATTATCCATTACCACAATTTATTTCCCCTCCTCACAGTTTGATATTCGCTCACAAAATGCGACCGTGCGAGCGAGACGCCGCTATAAATTGATACCGCGTGCGAAAGAGTCGGCACGAATTCCAAATATACTCAAACGCACGCACACAAATGCAAAAGTCTCCGTTTCATTTCACAAGCAAAAGATACAACGGGGTGAAGTGAGATGGAAACGAGGGGACTTACTCATAAATAATATATGTGCATGGCATCTCGTTTGAAACGAAATGTGTGTGCGATTGTATGTGTGTAAATACAAATTTCGATATATTAAAAATAGATATAGATGGATGGGTGTAAAATGGATAAAAAAGATGATGAAATTGTTTAAATGGTAATAGATATTGTTGAAATGCTAACTTCAGTCAAGTAAAAGACATTTTAAAGCTTAAGATCTTCATCAGGTTTTAATGAAAAGGATTTTTTCACTTATTTACAACCAAAATGATATTTAACATTACTAACACCCAACTTCATTCCAGTTCAAACTATTTTTAAAAATAAAACTTTCTTCAGTTTAACCAGAAGTTTTTATTTTTTTAGTTGCTCGAAACAAAAAACAAATTTCAAATCTATATACATATATTCATTGAATTCTAAAAATCAATATTGGTGTTCCTAATAATAATTTTTATAGTTAAGAACGTTTCGGATATTAATTATGACCTTTATCAGTAAATTTTATTTTTTTTTGTAAAGTATATTATTTTAATACATATTTATTTATTTTTTATTTCTAAATATTTAGTTTAAAAAATTCTGAAATTTGATTTCAAACTCACGTCCAACTATTATATATTTTTGTACGTTTATGTAATTTACGTTTCGGATCCTTATTGTGGCCTTCATTAGAGTTAATATTTGTTTATTTATTCGAAAATAAAATATATTTTTATTTATTAATATATTTATATTTAATAACATATTTTTAATCGAAAAATCAATTTTGATGTTCAAATATTAAGATTTATCATTAGCAACGTTTCGGATCGCTGATTATCTTCTTTAGTGTTTTTTTTTAATTTTCATGTACCTTGTAT